CATTTCATTACAATAATTCTTTTTTTTTATATTTTTTAGAAAACATATCTTTTAAAATCTTGTTTACTTTTTTCTTGAAGGATATATTATATTTGGTATTGTAAAAAAATTAATAATTTTGTAAAATCAATTTGAAATATAGTAAAAATAACCTAAGAAAATATATTTTTAGTTGCAATGATGCACCCTTTTTAAGAGAGCGCATTACAAAAGCTACCCTACAACATTACCCAACTATTTGGCCCAAGATGGGGTTAGTTTTCCCACGTGCATAATTCGCCTTCATTTTTTATTTCATTTTTTTAGTTTTTAAAAATATTCTAGGATAGCATGGAGTGATAGGTTCACCTGTCTCACAAGTGGCATCTCCAAGGCTTGAACATGTAATTTGCTCGCTACCCCAAACTGCCTGTGAATTTGTTCTTTTATGAAAAATATGTAAGGTTTTTTTTTGTTTTGTTTTGCCCAAACCATTACTTCTTTGAAGTGAATTGGCTTCTCTCGATATCTCCACAAGCTCCGACTCTTTGAGCGGGCTATGAGACTAATTCGGAATGTATGTTTGATGGGACACAAATTTGTTCCCATTTAAGCTCATTTTGATGGTAAAAATCCATCTGTTCCGCCAGCTGGTAACCAATTTTTGTTGTAAATGTACGTTCCCAGATCCCGAGAAGAAAAGTACCAGAAAAGAACGGATGGTGATATAATCAGCTGATAATGCAAGAAAAGGGAAACAATTTAACTTATGTGTACACCTGCTCCATTAACCTCTCCTCTGACTCTTTTGAAGGAAACATTAAAAAGAAACTTCTAAAAGCAGAAAAGAGTACAACAATCAAGCAGGATGAAACGTGTACAGTAGAGAATGAAGAGTGTTCATTGATTTAGAGAAAAAGAAGGCATGTGGGTTTCGGAATAAAAAGGCAAAACTAAACCCTAAGCCATCTAATCAAGCAACTTGCTTCACCTGTCAGAGCACCAGTTCACCGCCTCTCCATTCAATCAAGGAACAGCTGAAGAAGAATTACAAGATTGCAATCCACTACCTCAACCTATAAATAGGAGAACCCCACACAAAGAAAGCATCGAATTTCTTAAGAAGAGATCATCTAGTCATAGTTTAAGTTTCTGTATTTTAACTTGTATAGATTTAGCAATAGCTAAGTGACAACAACTCTTTCCCCATTCCTTTTTCATCATTTGAGACTACTCACGAGCAATATCCATATTTCTCTATTTTATTTCTCTGTATTCTAAACTTGTTGTTTATTAATATACGTTTGTTATTTCTCTTTTCTTCTGCTCGTTATTCTCAACCTGAATCTCGGGTCTATGGGATTTCAGATTGAAATAACTATGTTTGTGTTTTCAGCCATGGACTAAGTTATTTTGGAATGGAAAAACTGTGAAATTCTTAAAGAACTATGTTCAAAACTCTTGCACTGAACCTTTTGTATTTCTGTGATTCAAGTAATCTTAACTCTTTGGGTATCAATGGAAATTGAACACAAACTGAGAAAGGAACTTCCTTAAGGAAGGGATTTCAGACAGCTTAATCATAGGAAGAATGTAAGATTGTGGAAACAATCTTACTGGTTGCCTTAGGAATAAGGAACCACCTCGTTCCCTGAAGGTTCTGAACTTAGTAACCGTTGGAGTCAAAGGAGCCATAGAAATATGGAAAGTCGTGAGCCATTTAGTCTATGAGCTGAGGAATCAGAGTTGGCAATCAAAAGACCTGAACAAATTCAGAAAGGTTAAGTCTTTAGTTGAGAGCATAGCTATTTAAGAATGGAACAGAGGATCCGTTTCTTGTGTTAAAAATTGTTTTTGTTAATAATTCATCTTGTTGTCTATTAATTATTGTTATCTTTAACTTTCAGCATTTAATGTATTGTGACCACATAACCAAACCTCCAATGATTTTTTCGTTCCTCCTGAAATCAGGAAGGATTTAATATATAACGACGCGAGAAGTTGTTTAGAGTCAATCTGAACCTACCACCTTAAGGGAACGTCCTTAAGGCACTAGGGAATGAAAGGCCAAACAGTTCAATACTGTATTTTCTTTTATTTCAAATTCTTTTCATATTAGTTCAAAGTATTATTTAGAGTTACTATCCTCATGAGAACGATAATTTGAGTACTTATAATCTCATTTATTACTTGATGCGTGCACTTGCGCGACTGAGTTAATATCTTGGGAACGAATGTGTTTTCTCTTGATAGATTAAGCAAGGAACGTCCTTAAGAACATCAGCACCCAACATATGTGATAATATTTAAATCCCTCCAAAAAGTGGTATGTGATAATCGAACCGAAACTTTTTCCTTTTAACCTACTTAGCTTTCTTGTTACCCACTCAATTACCACAATTCGGTAAATATGTAAAGTTTTAAACATTTGAATTAGACTTAAAAATATAAGTAAACTCATTATGCGGTTCTACCCAGTTTTTATGGGCCAAGACCAAAACACTCACATCTTATATGGGCCAACCTTAGCCCACCACATATGGTTACGGCCAGTCTATTATTATATTTTTATAAGAATTAGCCGCACTCCTAGAACGAGCCCACTATTTTTTTAAATTTGAAATATTTCCAACACATTAATGTAAAACTAAATATGAAATAAATCTCCCTCAAGTACGTTTTAGTCTTTTGGATAGAGAATGAAAAAAGGAAATTATGGCAGGCATCATGAAATGAAAATAAAAATAAACAAAATAATATAGATACTTCTCTGTAACTCTGCAATATCCTCACCAATTCCGATAGATAAACGTGTGAAACTTAGGCTTCAGATTCTCACCATCGTCATTTGCTTGAATCAAGAGGAAAAGAATTATCTCATAGTCTACAGGACATGATTGCTCATGATCTCTTTATCTATGTGATATAATTAGTCTCTCAAACATTCATGTGCAATATATCTTATCATAGAAACTCATTCAATTACAACCAAACACATGGATCAACTAATGATGAGCTGTTTCAATTTAATCAATAGTTTAGAATTCGAATCCTGAATATACAATTACGTTAAAATTTGAAAGGGAGAGATTTGCTGCCCATGTAATCCATATTTTGATCTAGACATCAAGAAGCAAGCAAAGGTTTAAAGAGCTATATCACTGCCTTCATTGCAGAAGATTCACTGAGTGACCTGAATGCGTTAAATGCTGGAGTTTCATTTGTTCTTAAAAATCTAACATCAGTAGCATTAGTAAGTATCTTGATCAATCCAATGTCCAAAGTAGTAACAGCGAGAATATTTCCTTCCTTATTGTATATCAAGCTGGGAAGGCCTTGAATTGATTCATGCAATCGTATAAGGGATGTTTTATAAAGTGTACTTATATTCCAGAAGACTAAAAATAGAATGTGACTACCTTGTAGGGCTTTGCCTCTGAAGCTCAACTTAGGAAAGAGTCAGGCGATGAACTCCACCTACTTTCATGGAGTTTTTCAAGCAACTGAAAATTGTAACATCAATTAAAAAAACAAAATAATAAAACTTTTGAAAATGTGGCTTGTGACCCTAACATTAATCGTCCAATTATAAACCTGTTAGAAAAAAGAATTGCTCAAGAATTTGATGTCAAAATAACATTCTTAAAAACCAACGCGATTAGTACTAATATCATGAAATGCTTCTTCCAACTGTGAGAAGTGGGAACATGAACCAAAATTGCTAAGAGAGATATTGTCTAAAATGAAGTGCTTACCTAAGAAATACGCCAATAGGTAATTAAATTCACGAGACTGCTGCAGCAATTAAGGTCTAGCAGTACAAGTTCTTAAGTAATGAATTGATTTGAGAAAATAAAATTAGCAGCGATTTTGTTATAAGGTTGCCTTTCTGATTTTGCACCACATGCCAGTGCTCAGGTTTGAAATTCGCTGAAATTCTCCTTCTATCATCTTTCTTTCCTTTTTCTTTTCTTTTTTTAATATGGTCCGTGATATTAAGGTTGGAAGCTATGACATCATGTAAACTATCCAAATCCCTCGTTGTTAGACAAATTCTAGTGACTTTTTTTTTTCTTTTCTTATAAATCATCCTCCTCATTTAATATACCCAAATATTCAAGCCTATTTTTTGTATTTTAGGAGTACATATTTCTCGCCCATAACTAGAAAAATATGGGATCTGAATGAAAATAAATATAAAATTAAAAATAGTGTAAAAATATTATTTTTTACTATATTTGATAAAAAGAAATACCGAATACTCTTACTCCAGAAACACCAAAAATACTTTCTAAACATACATATTGAGTTTGACGCACCCCAACACATTGCATCTTGAGGTGTCTGATCACTTTTAGTTACATTTATTAACTGATTAGTTTAAACCAAATGACAAATAATCATAGTTTCGATAATTTCATTCTTTACTCCACTAGTACATTAATTCAGTTTGATAAGACCACATAGGTGGTATATCTGTGTTTTTAGCACTCGAGACCATTTGTTAAATTGAAACATATAACCCCTTATCAATTGATGAACTAGAGATTAGTAGTTCAATTGGAATAACCCTTTACTAGAGTTGATACACGTGCAGGCAAGGGATAATATATTCGACAATGAGAAGCAGAGAATTTCACAAAACTTGCAAACAACGTGAACGGTAGTTCTAACGTGGTAGTAGCTTGGGGACTTAACTGCAGACGGTGACATCTAACAGTCTATACCACATAGTCGTTTGGGTCGTGCCGTGATTTATCTGGTGCATGGCTAAAACTTTTTCTTTTTAAAAAATAAAATAATAATAATTATATTTGTGCCTAAATTCGAAAAGGTGGATGCCATTGCTGGTGCTTAATTTGTCATCATCAATTATTTGAACAAAAAGGCATCCTTTATGCTTTATTCTACAACACATAATCCACCACGATTTTAACGCCCACACTGTTACTTCTTTTACATATAAACAACCAAAACCTGTTGTTAAATTCATTTTTCCCTCACACAACACAACACAACACACATTAAATTGAATGTGTTTTTCCAAAATGGCTTCTCCACACTTTTTCTATCTACTCTGTTTCCTCTCCATCATCACCTTCACTTCATCCACATCAGACACCATTGTCGTTCCTCTTTCTCCATTATTCACCAAACACCCTTCCTCAGATCCATTTCACACCCTCAAACTCATTGCCTCTGCTTCTCTTAACAGAGCCCACCACCTTAAGCACCACAAATCTCACCTCAATTCTTCTTCTTCTTTCGTCAAGACACAAGTTCATCCAAAAAGCTACGGTGGATACTCAATTAACCTCAATTTCGGAACACCACCACAAACCTTCCCTTTCGTTTTGGACACGGGAAGTAGCCTCGTGTGGCTACCATGCTCCTCTCATTATCTATGTTCCAAATGTAACACGTTCCCAACCAAAATCCCCACCTTCATTCCAAAAAACTCTTCATCTTCCAAGTTCATAGGTTGTAAGAACCCAAAATGCACTTGGCTTTTCGGCCCCAATGTTCAATCTCACTGTCAAGACTCACAAACTTGCCCTGCTTACACAATCCAATACGGGCTTGGCTCCACCTCCGGATTCTTACTCTCGGAAAATCTCAACTTTCCGGGAAAAATCGTCCCTGATTTTCTTGTCGGGTGCTCCATCATGTCCATTTACCAACCCGCCGGAATCGCCGGGTTTGGCCGTGGACCAGAGTCGGTGCCGTCGCAGATGGGCCTCAAGAGATTCTCTTACTGCTTGGTGTCTCACCGTTTCGACGACTCGCCGGAGAGTAGCGACCTCGTCTTAAACGGCGGCAAAACCAACGGTGTCAGTTACACGCCGTTTCAGAAAAACCCGTCGTCGGAAAACCCTGCGTTCAGCACGTACTACTACCTGACCCTAAGAAAAATCCTCGTCGGAGAAAAGCGCGTGAGGATTCCGAGCAGGTCTCTGAAGCCGGATTCCGTCAACGGTAACGGTGGGTCCATCGTTGACTCTGGCTCCACCTTCACGTTCATGGAGAGACCCGTTTTCGATTTGGTGGCACAAGAGTTTGAGAAGCAGGTGAATTACACGCGAGCAAGGCACGTTGAGGAGCAATCTGGGTTGAGTCCCTGTTTTAATGTCCACGGAATGGAAACGGCGTCGTTTCCCGAACTAACGTTTCAATTCAGAGGCGGCGCCAAGATGACGCTGCCACAGACGAATTATTTCTCGTTGCTTGGGAAATCCGACGTGGCATGTTTGACGATTGTCACTGATGACGTGGTAGGTTCGGCTTTTGCAGTTGGACCTGCCATCATCTTGGGGAATTATCAGCAACAAAATTATTACGTAGAGTATGACTTGGAAAACCAGAAGTTTGGATTTCGGAGTCAGAATTGTAAATAGTAAATCCACGGCTACTAATTACTATTGTCAAGAAGTTTGTACTTTGTACAACGTTGGAAGGTTGGATTTTTAATTTGTTCTTTTTTTACCAAAGTATTTGCAGCTTTTATGTAAAAACAGGGTGTTCGTAATAAAAATTTAAATAACTGTCATTAGTTCATAAAAATATTAGAGTAAATTGGCATATTTTTACTTGATATCCCCACCTTTATAATTGTTTATAAAAGAGTTACCCCTAAAGAGTGAACTTAAAATGCTTTAATTGACGTAATTGAATATACATATATATATATATATATATATATATATATATATATTCTTATTTTATGTTATTTTTAATGTATAAAGGAATAAAGCTGAGAGATTTATATTTTTATATGATGAGCTAGCTCAATTTCTTAAATGTAATATTTATATTTTTATATCATTGAATAAATTTAATTAAATACGAATTTTTTGATACAATATAATATGAATTTATCAACCTAAAATAGTATTATTATGATTATGCATATAAAATTTAAAATATATTGAACATTCACTAGCATTTAATATAATACTATTTTAAGAAAAAATATACATTAAAAAACATTTTAATGAAATATTATTTGTGCTTCATGAAGACTTTAAATTTTATGAATTGAGTTGATAAAATATAAAGAGCGTTAGTGTGAGGTAATTTTCGTTTTGGGGGAGATGATGTACCCTAGATGATCTTTTAATAAAAAGATAAGGCTAAGATTTCTCAAACATGGCAATGTCATGCTCCATCCAAATCCTCGATTTAATGGTTTCATCTATTATTTGCACATGATCCCTGTAGTGCTTTATTTATTTTCTTCTCATACAAGTAAGTAAGTAAGCATAATTATATAGATTTTATTTTTCTTATGTCACATAAAATAAATCTTCTCTCCTACTCTCACAACAAATGGTAGACCCACTTTATTTTTTTAAAAAGAAAAAGAAAAAGAAAAAAATAGAGCACGAAAATCGAAGTGAGGGTAGAAGGTAAAATTTTTCTTATGTGACGTGACATAAGAGAAATAAAACCCTATTTATATACATATATTCCTTAAAATCTCTTACTTAGTTCTTCCTTTTTGATGTGTTAAAGAATCAGGCTGCTTTCCAAAAGGGATCAATTCCTTTCATGTTCTTTCGGAAAGTTCATTTCAAGGACGGGGAGGTAAAGTATTGGGTTATCTTTATTCTTTGTTCCCTTTAGCATTATTTCCCTTTTAGTTTGTCTTCTAGCACTCAAAGAACCAGCCCAACTTATCAATTTGTCAAATTTATGCCAAAAGCAATATCATTTTAATTTGTGCATGATGATCAGTTGGATTTATGCTCTTTTACTAAAAATTATTTAATCTCAATGTATGAGAAAAATTCAAAAAATTTAGAGTCCAAAAAACTTAGGGCTAGGATTATAATTTAAAAAATTATATTAATTAATTAATTATTAATTACAATATAAATAACAATCGTTGATTTTCGTGTGTGTGCGCGCCCAAAAAATTTAAAGCCCAAGAAACTTAGGGCTAGTATTATAGTTTAATAAATGATACTAATTAATTATATTACCAATAACAATCGTTGATTTTTATGTGTGTGCGCGCGTTTGTGTGTGTATGTGTCCACACAGTTTTCCTTCCCTTTGAGAATATTCTGAAAGATACCACCATCCTCCAGAGGCTATCTTGGAGACATGTTCGTGCATCTTCAACAAGGAGGATTGTTCGTGCAGTGATGCAAAAGGGGCCGGATTGTAAAGGAGATTTGTTTGCATTGTGATGTGGAGGAGACCAGATTGTGAAGGAGAAGTTTCGTGGCAGCAGGGGCACGAAGCCCCACACCTAAACAAGAGAGGTTTCTCACAGTTTTGTACTTCAAAAGATATAACCTTTTATGGTTGTGAGACAATGATGATTCATAAACATATAAATGTATTAGGTCCTAAATTACTTCTGCTTATTCAATTTTTCTTACATCAACAACAAATTGAAATGTAAATCAAGTTGCAATCGGCCCCATGATCAACAGTGTTTGTGTTTTCATTAGTTTGTAGTAGTGATGTCATTTAATTTTGAAAATGTTACTTGAAACCTCAAAAAGTAGTATAAATTTTGCATTAGTTTTTTTGGTTTTTGTTTGTGTTTTTTTATATTATCCATCGATTAATCGATTGTACGATTAATCTGATTCAATTCAGGTAGGATCACATGGGCGGCAAAACTCTCACTATCAAGTTTTAACACATTGTGTTTCCAGGGACTCGAATTCTAAATTATTGATTAAGTTGGAATAACTCCTTACCGTTTTTTTTTTTTTGAACATTTTGCATCAGTTTATGATAATTAGTAAAAAAAATTTATTCGTTAATAATATATTATTATTATTTAAAAAATTGTTGTTATATTTGAAAATTTATTAATTAATAATACTTTGAAAAATTATCAATTCTTTCAACATTGTAAAATACTAGTTATATATATCGTCTGAGAAATACAAAGAACAAGATATTTGATTTTGTATAGAATTACGAAAAATATTTTTATCTCTCTCCAACGTGACTGTTGTAAGTATTCGAAATTCCTTCCCAAGCTTTGAACGTTTATTAGGATATATGTAATTGACAGGGAATAGGAGGATTCCGTTTCTCTATATCACTGAGCAATATGAGTATTAAACCGGTACGTACGGATTCATATATATAGCAGATGATATCCATAATATTTCATAATTATTTTGAGAAATTGTTATTAAAAATATATAGAACATATAAATTCTGCCGAATTTCTATCTACTTCCTGTATTTGAGGTAACTTTTCTTTAATCAAATTTTTACTTAATATTTACGGGATATCTTCTATGGCGTTTTTTGCTCATCGCTATGTGGGATACTGGGATCATTGAAGTTGGCCCAAAGAGTCAGCTGAGCCCGCACCTCTATATTTCCGAGATTGTCATTCTGACGCAAACAATCAATAGTGGTACTTGAATTGGTGATAAAGAAATTGTGGAAGTGAAAAAGAAAGAGTTTCGATAGAGTTGTTAACATGAGCTCCAACTCTTAGACTAGTCCTACAATCTCAATTTTCAGCTTCATTTTTTTTTTCAACCCACATGTTGTAGAGTTATTTTTGACTCTAGCCCCAATTATCTTAATTTCTTTTGTGTTAGGGTGGGGTTAACCACCGTAAAGAACTTTGGGACGGTGAGAGTGCTCAAGACCTTATAAACTCCACATTAGTTGCTCATACAATCAATGTGGGACTATATATCTCAACACGCCCTCTCACACGAGAGCCCATTGTGCTTGAAGAGGGGACAATGCAACAGGCCCAACCTACCTGTGCTAAGAAACGCCACAAGAGAAAGTGGGGGGCGGCGAGGCTCTGATACCATGTAAAGAACTTAGATATGTAATAACCCTAAATTATGTAACCACATTCATTAATGAGTCTTGTGTGGACCAAATTAATTAATGATAGTTATATGTGAATAATCCAAGTTAAGTATGGTTAAATGATCCTAAGCCCAACCCACTAAGAACATAGGTAGCCAATGGAACATGATCTAAAAGCCCAAAAAACTTAATGGGTTGAACCCACACCAACTAATGGCCCAAACTCATGACTCTTGAAGTTGTATGATCTTAGACTAAGCCCACATCAAACTTAAACATAAGTAGCCCAACTTAGTGTGATCCAAACTCGAAGAGACTCCTTGGGCCGAACCCACCATGCAAAGGAATAAGACTTGGTCCATTCACTAATTTCAATGGAAATCTAACACCAAAAGAGCAAAGTGGGCCGAACCCATTACATAGTGTGGTCTTGGCCCAAAATGCAAAGCAATCTCAACCCATTTTGAAGCCAACACTGTGGACCCCCTTTAGTGGTGTAACAAAGCCCAAGTCCATGAACATGTGATGAATGATGTGGCATTTGATGAGTGGTTGCCACTACATGCAACCAATGAGGGAAAAATTGAATGAAACTTGGCCATTCCCAAGTGCAAGCCGTCGGCCATGATAGAAGAAAGGAGACATAAATTGCCTTTCCCACTCCCTAGGCGACGCATCAAATGTTCATAAACCCAAGGCTTCCTTCATTCATGATTAAAAAGTAGATTCACTTTTCCCCTTCCCCCTAGGCAAAATTATCATCATGAAAAGAGCATGGCTTGTCTTACACACTTTACATTGAGTATTGCACACTCAAGGTTACCTCATCCAACCTCCATGCATTGGGAAGAACGCTATGACACCCTTTTCTCCTAGGGTTTCGGTCAAGTAAGGATCAAAGGCAAAAGCCTTACACACTAACCAATATTTCCTTATGAGTGATTAAAGCTTGAACCTTGTTTCTCTCTACCCTAAGCGTGACATGCAAGAATTTCTCTTCCCCATGCGCACCACTTCCCAAAAGATCCAGGGAATAGATGGCTTGTATGACACCTTGAGTATCCCCCACACCCTACACTCTTTTCACCCCCCCCCCCCCACCGCCCATGCGCATGACAACCTTGAACAATGTGAGAAGACTTGCCTATCCCACACTCAACCTAGGATCTAGCCCATCCTCTCCTAGGCATGATGATTAGGGGGACTTGAATAAAAATGGATGACCATAGGCCTTTCTCCCATCCTAGTCGTACACATCCAAGGAACTAAGGAAAAAGGTCACACTCCCTCACTCTCCTTAGCTTAACAAGGAACCAAAGAAAAAAAAAGGATACCCTCCTTCCTTCATCAAGGCTTCGGCCTTCTCAAGAACAAGAACCAAAAAGAAACAAACCTCTCTCTATCCCACCTAAGGCTTCGGCCATTGGCACATCTAGAGCATAGGAGCATCAAAAAATAACTTCAAGCCTCCTTCATTGTCTATAGAGGAACACGTGGAAGGTGGACACTTAGAAGATCAAGAGTGAAATATTTGGTGGAAGAATCACTCCATTAAACATCATCCTTGAGGTAAGGTCTCTTAGACTCT